GATGTCTCAATCGGGGTCCTGTCAAGAAGCAGGGCGCCCTCGAAGGGGAGGGGCGAGGGCGTGAACGAGTGGAAAGAGCTCAGCACCGTGCAGGGCCCAGGTGAAGGTGCGACCCCATCGCACCGAGGAGGAAACTGAGGCTTAGGGTGGTAAGGGAGCCTGTCTGAGGTCACCAAGCTCAAAAAGGAGGATCAGCGATGACCTGTGGCTCTCTGACTCCAGAGGCGGTGCCCTCGGCCCCACCATGCTGCAGCGTCACTCTAAGGACACGCACTGGGTTCTTGCAGTGGGTCCTCTGAGAGAGGAGGTAAGAGTCCCAGACCTCGGCTCCAGGCTGAGGGCTGAGCCCTTGGCCTTGGGACCATGGTGGGTGGTCTCTGCGGGTCCAGGCCCTTCACTATCAGGTACACAGCCGCAGACCCTGAAAACCGTGGTGGACCCCCAGCCTGGGGCCTGGAGGGCTGCCTTCCTCTCCTTGGCCAGCAGTCATCGGGGAGACCGGCTGGTCTCAGCACCGGGCAGGGAAGTGTGACGGGGAGAGGAAAGGTGGGAGACAGAGGGCTGGGAGAGAAGTGTATGTGTGTGGGGGGCGCCCACAGAGCTGGAAAAGCTGGACCTAATTTGGCAGTGAGCTATTTCAGGACTGTGCCCTGGGGACCTCGGACCAGGGATATCGGGGGAGGAGAGTCTGGTAGAGCGGAGGGAGAGAAAGCCAGACTTCCAGCGCTGGGCTGGGCTGGGCGACGTGAGCTGGCTGTCTGGGCCAGACAGGGTCTGTGGAGGTCAGTGTGTAGCACAGTCCTGCTGCATTTGGAGGGTCACGCTGCATGGCCAGCACTCCCTGTCCGTGGTATTGGGTTATCAGAGCTGCAGACTCAACCCTACTTTACAGACAAGGGACAGGTCAGGGCTGGGGGTGGAGGAGCAGGGGTCAGGAGGGGTACGCACTGCAAGAACCCAGTGCGTGTCCTTAGAGTGACGCTGCAGCATGGTGGGGCCGAGGGCACCGCCTCTGGAGTCAGAGAGCCACAGGTCATCGCTGATCCTCCTTTTTGAGCTTGGTGACCTCAGACAGGCTGGGGTCAGAAGGGGTCGGAAGGGCTGCGGTCAGGAGCTGGGGCAGGGGGTAGGCGGCAGCTGTCTGGATGCACAGCGCCCTGGACCAGAACCCAGACCAACAGGTAATGTCCTCGGGGGAATTCACTCTCCTCCCAGGAGCCCCTCAGGCCATGGGAGACAAGGGGGCCCCACGTTGGCTGGGTGACGTGAGGCCGCCTGGCGAGACGCAGAGAGAGCTGAGCCCTGGTGCCTAAACCTCAGTTCCAGTGCTGGGTCGGTCACACCACCTTTGAGGGAGTCCCTTTCCTATTGGAGCCAGATGGGGCCTGTTTTGTCCCATCTGCAAAAGGGAGCCGCAGAATCGGATCGCCCTCAATGGAGGGGTTCCGAGCTCTGAGTCCGGGCAGGCAGAGGGACAAGGCAGGGCTGCCCCTCGCTGTGTACCTGGCGCCCGGCACAGGGCAGGAGCTCTTCCTGGCCTCAGGAGTGGGCATGGCAGCTTCGCAGGTCACCTCCTCCAGCGCCTCGTCAGATCTGCCGGCCACCAGTGAGGTTTCTCCAGGCCCCGGGAAGGCAGGCGGACGCAGGCCAGCGAGCATCCTTGTTTTTGTCTGTCTCAGAGTTAGTGCAAACCCCCGGGGAGCAGCGCTGCGCCGTGGAGATGGCACCGAAATATTTTCATGATCAAAAATAGGATAGGGCTCTGAGCTCCACGGTGTGATTTAAATGTCCAGATTTCTTTGACCAGGGGAGATCCAATGACATCCTGGAAGCTAAGTGTGAAATATGACGCGGCCTCCCCAAAGAGCTGCCATTCTATGGGGGGCGGGATGGAGAGGGGAAGGGGTTCCTCACGGAGCCCCTCGGAGGGACAGAAGCGCACTGGGCAGCGGTTCCAGCCGGCCAGGCTCTGTAGTCCCGTGCAGGCCAGGCAGCCAATTAGGCGCCTCGTCCCTGTTTCTAACCTGAAAAATGCACCTAAAACCTTACCCATTCCTCACTCGACAAGTGGAGGGTAATTCACCGATTTTTATTAGCAGTAATAATTTTAAACAAGTTGGTGGAAGGACAAGAGCCAACGTGTTGCTGAGAATTCTCTGTTGTCAGGCACCACCCTGAGCACTTCACAGGCATTGTCTCATTTAATCTTACAGCCTGTAACCGAGGGGGGTGTTAAGGTTGTGCCCATCTTACAGACAAAAACACTGAGGGCTGAGGAAGGTAAATAATTTTGCCGTCCAAAGAGCTCGTGGTTAGAAGTGGGAACCGGATCCAGGCCCCTTCCTCCCTGTGTCAGGCGTTGTACGAGACGAATGAGATCTAGATTTTGTGCTTCCAGGACATTAGAATGTAGCGAGAGAAGTAGGCATAGGCGCAAATGATGAAAACAAGAGTCTTTTCAATGGAATAAAACCCTCACACAAGTTCAAGGCATTGTTCCTTTGCTATTATCCCATTAGCTTGCAATATGTTTTATATATGCAAGTATACGCACGCACACATTTTCAGGTGTTGATAGATACACATGTGTGTGTGCATGTGTGTAAATCTACTGACACGGGCTAGGACTGTTCCTATAGACCTTCTCTGTGAGCCTTCTAACCCTGTAATTGTCCAGTCTCCCAGATCCTTACAGGGCAGACCGCCCAGTCTCTCTGCTTTTGTGATGCAGATGGGGCCGGGCTGGGGAAGGAGGAAGGGGAAAGACTCCACTTCAAAAGATTAAGACAATTTGCATAATAATGAGCTGGCCATGAGGAGGAGGGAGGGAAGAAAGGAGTTAGAGAAGGAGGGAGGAGAGAGTAAGGCAGGGAGGGAGGGAGAGGGGAACAAGGGCGGGGAGAAGAAGAAAGAGGAAAAGGGAGGAAGAGATGAAGGGAGGTAGGTAGAGCAAGAGAGGGACCCACTTGTAAGGAGAGAGGAGTGGGTGGAAGGAGGAGGGAGGGAAAAGGTGGGGACAGGAGGAGGAGGAGGGCAAGAGAGGGAAGGCCTGTGGGCTGGGGGTAGAGAGAGGGTCTAGGGGTGGGGTATGTGGAGAGTGGGGCAGCTCAGGAGAGTGGGGGTGGGACTGACATGAGGAAGACAGGAGGGCTATGTGGGAAATGTCCTTTGGGTCCCTTTCCATGTTTTTAGAGAGACTTAGGGCAAAAAGATGGGGTTCTTGTAATGACCTAGTGCTTTCCCTGACGGTACCGGTGCCTGTTTAACGGGCTCCGCTCTGGACTGAGCCCTGTGGACTGCAGTTTCATTAGGGCTGTGTCTCCATCCTCCACGTGCATACATTTTGTACTGCGTGACCTCGGGCAAGTCACCGAGGGTCGCTGCACCTCATTTTTTCCCCTTGTAAAATGGGGTGACAACAGCACCCACCGCACAGGGAGCTGTTAGTGTTAATCACTTAATTCACACAAATGGTTTAGCACAGGCCCTGCCACGCGGGAGACGGAGACAGAAAGCTTCAGTTCTGAGTCCCTCTGCGTGGGGACCACTCCCACCTGGAGACCCACCAGGCGGAAACCCGACTCGCCGGGTGTGGCCCCATCTCCTGACTTTCTGCTTGTGGTCTGCCTGGTCCCCAGGCATCCAGGCTGGTCACAGTGGAGGTTCAGTTTCCTGATCCTTATCCATTTGCCCCAGTAGCCAGTCACTGGTCCCTTTCTTTAGTCACCACACCACCTGGCTGCTCTCATTTCCCACCCCCCTCGAGCCAGTGCCTGAGCCGGGACGACTCTGGGCCGTGGAGTTAGAATTCGGTGCATCCACATTGAATTTTACACGCCAAGCTCGGTCGCAGGTGAGATCTCTGACCCGGAGGAGGGGAGGGGAGTTTTCCTCTGGGATGGAGGTGATTTTTAGCAAAGACGGGATATGTCTTCGCTAACCACACGGGCAAACCACACAGTAGTCAGAGGCTCCTTGTGGGGTCAGGGCACTGGGAGGCCTCCACCTGCTCCCCTTTCTCGATCCGGGTCACAGCGAGAGGAACTGGGACTCGGAATCCTACCAGGGGGCCCGAGAGCAGCTTCGGGATAGAATTCCCTGAGGCTGTTTCCCTCCCTCCCTCCCTCCCTTTAATATCATTTTGCCAGTGTGGCTGCATAACGTTCAGTCTTACAGTTAATGCAGATGTTTGCAAATAAGAAGCTTTTATATACGTATTCCATCCACCACTTATCAGCCGCCTAGAAACTCAAGTGAAAAACACAGGGAAGGGAGCCCCTTAGGTTCTCAGACTCACCCCCAAGAGGCAGAAAGCACACCCCATGGTTCGAGGGAAGAAAAAAATCAGTTCACATGGCTGCTCCCTCACCCCCCAAACAAGGCATCAGGAGGGGGTGATGGCCAGGTAGGCTGTTACATTTGAGACCTATTTCCACACCTGGCTGGCGTGGCTTCGTGGTTGAGTGTCGACCCAGGAACCAAGAGGTCCCTGGTTTGATTCCTGCTCAGGGCACATTCTCAGGTTGCAGGCTCGATCTCCAGTAGGGGGCGTGCAGGAGGCAGCCGATCGATGTTTCTCTCTCATTGACGTTTCTCTCTCTTCCTCCCTATCCCTTCCCCCCTCTCTTTCAAATCAATAAAAACATATATATAAAAATATTTTCTCTGTTCGCGTTAATTGCCCAAGGGCAGGTACTATGCAGTGTGTGGGAGTCCCAGTTTAGAACAGTCACCCGCCCTTTCTCATCTGCAAGATGAGCCCTGGAACTTCCTTGTCCTTATTGGCGAGTTGGCTGGGAAGTTTGCCCACCAGAGAAGCCCCTGTTTGCGCACACCAGGTAGGGACTGGTCTCCTGGCTTAGGGGGGTGGCTAGCCTTCTCTCCCACATACAGCACGGTCTCCTCCTGTGCCCGGAAGGCAGCCTGGCACGGTCATGAGGACGCAGCCGGGGACCGAGACAGCCCCTCTCCTGGCCGGGTCCCTGCGCTCAGCGGCCTACCTTTCTCTCCTTGTCACCGTATTCGATGCCCAAAGTGTCCATGGCCCGGACGATGGCTGCCAGGGACTGGATGGTGTTGCTGTAGACGACAGGCTTGTACTGCTTCACGTCTTCTCCCGAGAAGCCATCTTCGTGGATGATCCTGGAGGAAAACCACACACACCACGGATGAGTGCGCCTCCGCACTGGGCCCCGAGAGCGCGGCCTGTGAAGCCCTGTGCTGCCCTCCTAGCCGAGGGCCGGGTCTGATCCGGGAGCTGAATTACTGAGCCGATGCATTGGGACCATCGGGTCTGAAGGAAAAATCTACCCGAATTACTCAACATTAATCCAAACAAACAGAATCGTGGGAAAGAAAGGCAGTCTTTTTACAGTCCCTACACACGAGAGCGACGACAGTCAACAGGTGTGGGTGACACTTGAAAACGCTCAGCACGGGAGGGCACGCACGAGGCCCTCCATCCACGTTAGCTATTCGTGTTTTTAAGCAGAGCTCAGGGTCTTACCCACTCAGGAGCGTAGGGCTTCCTCTCTGTGCTAAGCGCGTCACGCGCACCATCTCATTAAAGATTCAAAACAATCCTAGGAGATCGAAACTGTGATTTCCACGTACAGGGGAGGAAACGGAGGCTCAGAGAGGGTAAGCCACCCACCCGAGGTCACACAGCTGGGTGAGTGTCACAGCGGCAGTCGAGGCCCTGCCTGTGACCACCAGGCCGACCGACGCTGACCGGCAGGGCTGCTGCTTCCGCCCTGGGTGCCTAGCTCCAGGTGCCCTGAGAGCCCAGAACTTCACACACCAAGTGAGCGTCGGAACACTGCCTACAGTGCCAGCCCGAGGAGAGTGAGGCAAGGCCAGGAGGTGTCTGGTTTGAGGCTGGAGAAGCAGCCCGGGTCTGAGTCTAAAGGAGACAGGGCCAGGCGTGGGGGAGCAGGAGGGAGGCCGCATGGGCACCTCAGTCAAAGCCAGTAGCATTGTCCTCTGCACGGTTGAGTGACAGGGTGCAACATCATCTCCCAGAGACATCATCTGAGCCACTGGATCCAGCCATGCCTGAAGCTAACCATGATGGAAGCCAGATAATCCCTCCTTGTTTTTGTATAAGCCAATAACAGGGCTTGAGTTTGTCACTTACAACCGATAGCGTCTGAAGCATGTTCTGCACCTGGAGGATAACCATTGTCAGGTCATCTCTGAGTAGACTTGTTTATGAATCTTCTGTCTCTATCACCAGCCGTCAGCCCATGGACTTCAGGTGATCACACCTCAGTTTCCCCCTTTCCATGCCACCTGGCACAGGGCTGGCTCTGGACAGGACTCATAACGACAGGCGCCAGGAGTGCACAGGTGCACAAGACCACTCTCTCCAAGGAGCTCACCGAAGGAGGCCGAGGTGTGTGTGCGTGTGTGCGTGCGCGTGTGTGCGTGTGTGTGTGCGTGTGTGTGTGTGTATGTATGTGTGCATGCCAGGGTGGGAGCCCACCGGCGTTTTATGCCTGCAGAGCCCGGGCAGCGAAGGGAAGCCGAGCTTGATGCCCACCTGAAACTCAGGGGCTCTGAGAGGGGCTCCAAGCCAACAAACCAGAAGCAATACAGGGAGCGAGCAAAGGCTGACTGCGGGCCTGAGTGTCCGGCTTTGGGCCGGTGCCGCCATCTGGACTCTGGAAACCTGGCAGCGCAATGGGGAGATCTCAAGTGGGGATGGGGAGAGAGGGAGAGCGGCACCAGCCCCCCGAGAGGGTCGGAGCTCTCTGGGAAGAGGCAACCGAGGAGGGACCCCTGGCCTCCCTCACCTGGGCTCCCCCTTGCTGCCTGGGGCCCCTGGAGCAGGGGGGCAGGGCTGGGGCTCCCTCTGCTTCTCCTCTGTGCAGGGCTGCGCTCAGCCACAGCGAGGCTCCCCAGACACAGCAGCCTTATATGGTCACAGAGCCACGGGCTCGGCAGCTGGAAGGGACCTTGGAGGGTCATCTGGCCCAGCAGCCATTCTCTAACCGCAGATGCCTCTGAGAATGTGACGAGTGCAGCCCACACACAGTTTTGCCCCCAAATCCTGGTGGTTCAAGACACGCAGTTTCCCACTCCATCTCCCGGCTGGTTCAAAACCCCTCCTCTGCTTCTCTTCCTTAGCACCCTGTCCCCGGCACGGGCTGGCTCCATCCTCCACCACAATCCCGTTAAGGATCTAGGTAAAGGGGGCGTTTCTGGAGACAGACTCGAGCTGTGTCAACAGGCCTAAATGAACGGGGTGCTGGGAGGGTGGCGGGGGGCAGAGTGTGTCCACGTTTCAGACGACTGGCTGGGCAGAGGTAAGACATGTGCGTTTTGCACAGTGATCCTGGTGGGACCTGGGTTTCTGATTTCTCAGCGTTCCCAGGGAGCAGAGGTACTGAGACCTGGAGGCCCGGATGGGAGGGGAGGAGCTTTGCTCTCCTCCCGGCATAAAGGCCGTCCCCCTGACTGCTAGGGCGGGAGCTAGTCTTAAGGCTACTGCCTCCTTCAATCCCCTCCTCCTCTCGTCCACACAGCCGACTGCTGCGGGTCAGGCAGACTTCCTAGAGCACCCAGAGACAGCGGTGAACAGGTCAGACACGGCCCCTGCCTTCAAAGGACTCATGGGCCAGTAGGGGAAGATAGGGAAAAAAGAAGTAAACAAACAAACAAACAAGTAATGATAGCATAATAACCACAAAAGGGTAGTTAACGATGGATGGGGGGCAGAGTTAGGAGCCAGGAAAGGAGGTGACATGCAAAGCTGAGGCCTGAATAATGAGGAGGAGCTGACCTTGCATTTATGTGAGGAAGAGCACTTGGGGCAGAGAGGACAGCAAGTGCAAAGGTCCTGGGGCGCCTTGTGTTAGAGGAAGGAGGAGGAGCCAGTGGGGTTGGAGCAGGGAGAACCGGGGAAAGACCAGTGAGGGCAGCAGAGACCCAATTGCACAGGGCTACGCACCACTTATATTTTTTTTCTTAACACATTAAAACAGTCACCTATTAAAATAGAACAACGCCCATCTGTGTACTTTTCCAAACCATCTTGACTTCCACCGTGGTTCTGCTCCAAGTGTGGATCCGTTTAAAAGGAAGCCCCCCCTCCTCTTTCCCAGACTTCTCCAGGGCTGATGGAGGCCTGTTCTGGGAACACTCCTGGGTTCCAACCCACACAGCTGAGCAAAAAAGAAGCAAAGAAAACCCGCCATCCGGCAGCCATCGTCCCACCACCCGCAGGGAGGCACCGTCCAACATCTTGGTGTAGATGACAGTCCTTTTACCTGGGAGCCCACGTGGGCATTGTTTTTCCGGAAACGGAATCCCAATGCGTGGCCCCGTGTCGCCCAGCAGTCGTCACTGGCTGCCTCGAGGCCCATCGTCTGAACGGGCCCTGAGTCACTTCACCAAACCCCTGCCCGTGGACAGGGCTTGTGGATGGAGCTCTTCCCAGCTTCAAGCAGCTGCTGGGGAGGCTGCCGGACCATCAGCCCGTTTCTCCTAATGAAGACAGAAAGCGGTACACCCGGACAGGACAAGCCAGTGGCAGGGCGGCCCCTGGCCTAGCGGGCTGGGCTTCAGTGACGTGAGCGCACACAGGATCTCTCGGCAATTTGGAAAGGACCCAACTGAAAACCCAGCTCCTTCAGTCTGGGTGAAAGTGTATGGTTAAGAGGAAACATGACCTAAAACATAAATGAGACGCCCCCTCCTTAGTAATTAATGCTCTATTTAAAACACGATAGTCTAATATTAGAACCACAGAGATGACAAGGGACTGTAAAATAATAGTACGAGGCGGGCCACTCCGAGGGGAAGGGCTGCTACCATACAAGAGACGAGTCCCGGGGACAGTGACTTGCAGAAATCTGTTCTAAAGATGCCGTTTTTAATACGGGGTACCGCGGGCCAGGAGCAAGACGCCAGCTGCCAACTGTCACCAGACGGAGCCAGGGGCCAGGCCGGGACGCGGGGTTCCAGGACTGGGCCTCTGCTGTTGTTATCTGGGGAGCAGCGTGGCCCCTGCCCTTTCCCGAGGCTCTCGGCGCTGGTGGTAGGGGTGGGGGTGGGAGTGCGTGCCAGCTCCCATCCCACGTGTGTGCGTGTGTGCGTGTGTGTGCATGCATATGTGTATGTGCATGTGTATGTGCCTGTGTGTGTATGTGCATGTGCATGTGCCGCTCTGAGAGCTGCCTTCTAAGCTCTGTGCCCTTTTCCCTGGTCTCAATCCTGGGATCCCGGCTTCGGATGACAGAGATCCTTGGCCTTGGAGGCGGAAGACTCGGGTTCTTATGCCATTTGGCCACTAACAAGCATCACACCCCCAGGCGAAGTGGGCAGGAGAAGGCCCCAGAGAGCGGGGCTCTGGCCAGCCCTCCTCTGGTCAGCATCGAGGCTCTCGGCCTGGGTCCCCCTCGGTGTTACCGGGAATCCTTCGAGGCAGCTCGGCCAGCCTCCCCAGAGGAGCCCCTTGATCCCCCAATCCACCCAGGTGCTGGCCCTGCCCCTGCCCGTGTTTTCAGGAGACACTGCCACTTTCTGTGGTGGCTTACACCCCCACTTCATTGCTCCCGAGGCCTGGGGTCTGGTCTGGGTTCTTCCACTGACCAGTGGGCATGAGCGTGGATGTCACCGGACCTCCGTGGTCGCTTCCTGTGCGCGCTGCCCCAGCCTCTCGGACAGGCCGCGTGTCGGCTTTGGGCCTGGGTTGTATCAACTCCCTGTGGGCACGCTGTTTTGCTCAGGTTAACCAAGCTCCAGGGTCATGTCCGTCTTTGCCAAATGTCGTCTTTTTGGGATACAGCAGCTCACAAAACATGGGACAAATAATCAGAGGTGCTCTTGGTGGGCCAAACATTGAGATGTGCCCAACCAGTTGCAGCTTAGTGGTTGAGTGTCGACCTATGAACGGGGAGGTCACGGTTCGATTCCCGGTCAGGGCACAGGACTGGCTTGCGGTTTGATTAATAGAACCTGGGAGCCTTCAGTCCACAGGCTGACGCTCTATCCACTGAGCCAAACCAGCTAGGGCTCCTTTCCTCTTTGAAATCAATTAAAAAAATATACTAAAAAAAAAAAACAAGTATTAGGTATTTCAAAGATTTCTTAGGAGGAAAGAAAAAAGGTTCAGACACTGTGAAACGAGGACCTGTACA